GAGGCACTCATCTGTCGCCCTTACATGACATCCTGGGAGGTGTTGCTGGCCCGGAGCCCATATCCAAGATATTATGGAGGGATTGTCAAAGATCATCTGGCCCTCTGACTATTACTCCATGGTACTCATGCATGTGGGCACTAAGGATACTGCGAGGTGTGAAAAGTGACTATTGGACTCTGAGGGTACACATGAAGGAGTTTGGAGTGCAGGTGATGTTCTCCTCAGTCCTTCCTATCAAAGGTCAGGGCCCGGGCAGAGACAGGTGCATCCTGGAGGTGAATGCCTGGCTGCAAAGATGGTGTCACCAGGAGGGATTTGGCTTTTTTGTGAGAGACAGGTGCATCCTGGAGGTGAATGCCTGGCTGCAAAGATGGTGTCACCAGGAGGGATTTGGCTTCCTTGACCATGGGATGATGTTCCAAGGACTGCTAAGCAGGGATGGAGTTCATCTTTTGAGGAAGGGGAAGGAAATATTTGGATTCAGATTGGCTAACCTAGTGAGGAGGGCATTAAACTACATTTGATGGGGGCAGATTACCAAAGCCCACCAGTAAGTGAACAACATGGGGACCTGAGAGATGGGTCAGAAATGGGGTAGAGCATGGGTTATAATAGAGATACAGGAGGGACAAGATGGAACGAAGGGGCAAAATCAAATCAATGTCTTAGATGCTTATATACAAATACAAGAAGTATGTGAAATAAACAGGAAGAACTTGAAGTGCTAATAAATAAACACAACTATGACGTAGTTGGTATCACAGAGTCTTGGTGGGTAATACACACAATTTGAATATTGGTATAGAAGGGTACAGCTTGCTCAGGAAGGATAGGCAAGGTAAACAGGGAGGAGGTGTTGTCATATATATTAAAAGTGTGCACACTTGGACTGAGGTTGAGATGGACATAAGAGACAGACTTGTTGAGAATCTCTGGGTTAGATTAAAAGGGGGTAAAAAACAAGGGTGATGTCATGCTAGGGGTCTACTACAGACCACATACCCAGGCAGAAGAGGTGAATGAGGCTTTTTTTAAACAACAAAATCATCCAACGCATAGGATTTGGTGGTGGTGGTGGACTTAAACTATCCAGACATATGTTGGGAAACTAACAGCAGGAACTTATCCAGTAAGTTCTTGGACTGCATTGAAGACTTTTTTTTTATTTTAGGAGGTTGTGAGAGCCAGCAGGGGCAAAGCTATTCTAGATTTGATTTTAACAAATAGGGAGGAACTGGTTGAGAATTTGAAAGTGGAAGGCAGCTTGAGTGAAAGTGACCATGAAATCAGAGAGTTCATGATTATAAGGAATGGTAGAAGGTCACCAAAACAGAAGGCAGATAAATTTCAGGAAGGCAGATCCTGGAAAACTTGGAGAGCTGGTAGATAAGGTCCCATGGGAAGCAAAACTAAGAGGAAAAAAAACTGAAGAGAATTGGCATTTTTTCAAAGGGACATTATTAAGGGCCCAAAAGCAAACTATTCCATTGCGTGGGAAAGATAGAAAGTATGGCAAGAGACCGCCTTGGCTTAACTGAGGAATCTTATATGATCTAAAAAACAAAAAGGAGTCATATACAAAGTGGAAACTAGGACAAATGATAAAGGATGAATATAAGCAAACAATGCAAGTATTCAGGGGCAAGATTAGAAAGGTAAAGGCACAAACGAGCTCAATCTTGCTAGAGACATAAAGGGTAACAAGAAGATGGTCTACAAGTATATTAAGAGCAAGAGGAAGACAAAGGACAGGATAGGCCCATTGCTCAGTGAAGAGGAGAAACAGTAACAGGAAACTTGGAAATGGCAGAGATGCTTAATGACTTCTTTGTTTTGCTTTTCACCAAGAAGATGGATGGTGACGGGATGCCGAACTTAGTGGATGCTAGTGGAAATAGATTTGGTTTAGAAGTTAAAATAAAAAAAGAACAAGTTAAAAATGACTTAGAAAAGTTAGATGTCTGCAAATCTCCAGGGCCTGAGGAAATGCATCCTATAATACTCAAGGAGCTGATAGAGGAGGTATCTGAGCCTTTAGCTATCATCTTTGAAAAATCATGGAAGACAGGACAGATTCCAGAAGACTGGAAAAGGGAAAATCTAGTGCCCATCTATAAAAGGGAAATAAGAACAACCCAAAAAGATTAAATAAAATTGGCCCCAAAACTGATCCCTGGGGAACTCCGCTAGTAACCTTCCTCCAACCTGACAGTTCACCTTTCAGTATGACCCGCTGTAGTCTCCCCTTTAACCAGTTGCTTATCCACCTCTCAACTTTCATATTAATCCCTATCTTTTCCAATTTAACCAGTAATTCCCCATGTGGTACTGTATCAAATGCCTTACTAAAGTCGAGGTAGATTATATCCACTGCATTTCCTTTATCTAAAAAATCTGTTAGTTTCTCAAAAAAGGAGATCAGGTTGGTTTGGCACGATCTACCTTCAGTAAAACCATGTTGTAATTTGTCCAAATTGCCATTAGCGTCAATGTCTCTAACTACTTTCTCCTTCAAAATTTTTTCCAAGTACTTGCATACAACAGATGTCAAACTAACAGGCCTATAGTTACCCAGGTCGCTTTTTTTCCCTTTCTTAAAAATAGGAACTATATTAGCAATTCTCCAGTCAAATGGTACTGCCCCTGAGTTTAGAGATTTATTAAAAAATTTTGCTAATGGACTTGCAAGCGGATGAGTCTCAAGGGAACAGAGCATTCAATGGGAGCAGAGGGAAACCGTCCCGTAGTTGGGACCCCAGAGGATGCTGCGGTATCTTCTCACACTGAAGATACCTCTGATGGGTGATTCGATCGTTAAAAACATAGATAGTTGGGTTTGTGATGACCGGGAGAACCGTATGGTCACTTGCCTGCCTGGTGCGAAGGTTGCAGATCTCTCAAGGCATCTAGACAGACTTATGTGTAGTGCTGGGGAGGAGCCGGTGGTCATGGTACATGTAGTTACCAGTGACATAGGGAAGGGTAGGAGAGATGTCCTGGAGTGCAGTAGTAGACAAGAAAGTGGGGAACCTTGAGAACTGTCTGTCCGGGGTGGGGGTAGGGTCCCTTTAAGCACAGAGCTCAGTTAGCCTCAGGCAGCAGCCCCACACACTCAAGTCCCAACCTGATGCCCTGCCAGCACTGGTTCCAGCCAGCCTTAACTTTGGTTCAGGGTCCACTCAGTGTGGACGTGCTATTTCGAAATAGCAAAACGCTATTTCGAAATAGTTTTTGTGTATAGATGCGTTACTTCGAATTAACTTAATTCGAATTAACTATTTTGAATTAAGTTAACCGAAATAGTGCTGTAGTATAGACATATCCATAGGAAATAAAATATCAAATTTAAAGTGATTCATCAAACATTTTAACAATAGTATATTAATAACACAGTTCCAGAAGTATCCAGCATCATGAGCACAAAATCATGCCTCCCAAGGCATGGCTGAGCAAAGTGGACTTTCACATATTGATGTCATGCCCATTTCAGCTGCCATGAGCATGACAGGAGCATGACATTAGCTCTAATGGCTTTACTTTGGATCTAATATTCAGAACAGAATCAGAGACACGACAGTTCCCCCAGTGCTATACACAGACTATTGTCTTCCATGGTTTGCTTGATGCATAGTGTCCCTGTGACATGAAATGACTGTTTTAATGATCAGCTCTCTAAAACCAACAGAGACTGAGAAACACCATAGAAGATCATGCTAGCAATGGACAGGTAGAAATGTATTACAACTGTAGTTCCCTTACTAAAGGAGCCTCTAACTTTTACTGGGAGGATCCTTTATGCTGCAATCTAGCCCTAGAGACTACAACTCCCATGAGCCCTTGGAAAAAAGGAGGGAATGGTAGCTCTTCCAGGAGAAAAAAATGCAGGGGAGGAATACCCATCTTCCCTAAGGAAGGCATTGTATGGCTTTTGCTTAAGGATCCACTGCTTGATTTCTGCCAATGTGTCAGTTTTTTGAAAAAGTCTAGTGAGAAGGCTGTGATAAATAAACTCTGGAAATTTCTGGAGTCCTCATATTTCCTGGATCTGTGTCATCTAGTTTTTAGGCCTATGTTTGAAGTTGAAACTGCACTGGATGCAGAGCATCATCTACTGGTGGGTAAGAATAATGTGTCCACACTGATTATGTTAGATCCATCAGCTCTCTTGTGATACCTAAATATTTTCTTGGCATGTATGTAGTCACTACTATGTATGGGTGGAATTACTTGAATGGTTCTGATCACTCACAGCTGGAAGGTTTGTTCAGTGTGTATATGGAACTCCTGGACAAGTGGCTGGAGTTTGCAGTGTACTAATGGCTCTCAGCTGTTCTAATAATATCCAGCCAACCCAGTACAGTGGAACAAACAACTCAATTTAGATTTGCAGAGTCTGAGAGTGGCTAAGGATGAGCTGGCTAACACTTAGTCCAGAGATGCCAAAAAGGTATTGACGGGTCAGGAGGGGAAAACTCAAAAGAGTGTAGTGAATGCTGTACCTCATGTCTGGAGCATGCCTGCTACATGGGATTCAAAATTCAGTTTTATTAGAGCTAGAGCTGTGTTTGGAAGATCAAATAGCAGCTGAAGCCCATAAGAGTGTTTTCCATCTGCCTCTGATTAGACATGTGTGACCTTTCTTCTCCCATGTGGGGGACCTTACTGCCATTATCCAAGGCCTCCGTCACCCTGGGTCTAGATGGCTACCCATGCTCCTCATGGGACACTTGGAACTGTAAGGAATCACAGAATGCCACTGCCTACCTCTGCTACGTAAGGGAGAGGGAGTAGCAAGAAGGATGCTTTATCTGAAGATGTTCCTAACTGTTGAACGTGTGTCCCTCCCTTAACAATAAATGCAAGATTCTGCATCCCTTATGAGTATGCTGCAACACTTACTAGTTAAATAAATACCTCCAGGAATAGATGTCAAGACTGATGGATGGGGAGGGTTGAAGGACACAGTATGAACTAAACAGAGTCTTATAATATTCTTGTAAAATGGGGTAGAGTGTTTTTTGGTTTTTAATTAGAAAATTTAGAATGGGAAATTTGCTGATTCAAAGTATTTTACTGAAAAGCGTTGAAATTTCTGGTGTTGTTTTAATTTTAGGAAGGCAACAAGAATTCTGGATTGGTGCCAGATAAACCCTGGGATTTATTTATTTTTTAGAATAATTTAGCATCAGCTAATTGGCAGTGGCTATAGTATACAGGGCAGTAGGAGAGAGAATAAGGAAGCTGATATCTCCACCTTAGATGTCAGTACAATAAATAGTAATGTGATGTCTCTAACATTCGCTTGGAACAGTTCCTTACGGGAAAGGACAGACAATGCTGGGTCCTACATTTTCCATAGCCAAACTGATCATTTCGGTAATGGTTTGTTCTTGTTCAGCATCTTCAGTCAAATTGGTGAAGGGACTAATACAGATACAGCAGCTTTCTAAAAGTAGGAGGAGATGGATTAGATCTAGCAGCTTGTGGCCAGATTCTTAGCATAGGTTTAGTGCTTGGCCCCCTTCTGCATATGCACATGTTCAGCTAAAGCCTTCTGCTGAACAGGATACATACATAACCACAAGTAAGGCATCTCCCAGAGATTTTAAAGAGATTCCTTTTAATTTACCTTCCATTTGAACTAAACTTTTTCTAAATCTCTTGCTGCAATTTGTAACTTGAGCAAACCTCCTTAAGTGAAAAGAGCTTTATCTGGCTGAAAATGGCAAGAGTTACAGGCAACTAACCAGATGTTGCAGTCTCCAATTTGATTGAAAGGATATACTTAAACAACAAACACTTTAATGAAAGTAAAATTAGGAAAAGATGGACACAAACTGCTTAACTGAGGCCAAGACATCCTAATAGAGGTTGGGGCCCAGGGACTGAAGGGCCAGAATATCAACTTACCTTCTTGAGAGGAATGTTCAATTGTGGCTCTATGAACATGGGAATAGAGCTTTGTTACTGTAGATGTCCACTGCTTGTTCCCCTGATTAAAACCAGAAGATGCTTCTGGAAACAAACAAAAATGGCTTCTGTGGTCATTACTAAAAATATTTTTACCAGGCTAGCTATTTTCTTTGAAGATGCAGTTTTATAGATTGAGTACCAGCAGGTCATTTGCATACTGTTAGCAAATTAGTTCAATGTTTTGTATTGTTCACTATGTTATAATTCAAGCGAAGTAGGCTATGAAACACAGGAGGCATTTCAGATATTAAAATTAAAAGAATTTTGCAAAAGTTCACTTCTAGCTACAATGTATAACAATTATAGAAACTACATAGAAGGCTAGCACTATAACAGGGTTTAAAAGAGAACGAAATAAATTCATGGAGGTTAAGTTCATACATGGCTATTAGCTCACCAGCCGTGCTGTCCAGCAATCTGTGCCTGCACAGATCATTCTGTGCATGAGCAGATCACCCGGACCTAGCTCTTCTAGACCTAGCTCTCCGTGGCGAGTAGATTGCATTATTTGTCGAGCCCCACTCACCAGCTGCGTGGTTTGGCATGCTGCGCATGTGCAGACCGCGCTGTGCATGCGCTGATTGCGCTGTGGCACCGTGTCACCTTAAAATCTACTCACCGTGGGCGAGTAGATTGACTAATTTGTCGAGCCCTGGCTATTAGCCGTATGGGTAAGGAATGGTGTCCCCAGCCTCTGTTTGTCAGAGGGTATGTCTACACTACCCCGCTAGTTCAAACTAGGATTCCTATTCCGAACTACCGGTACACCTCGTGGGACAAGGTGGACTGGTAGTTCGGAATAGGCAGCCTTGTCCGGATTAC